TCTCTCTCACTAGAATTTTCTTTTTTCACCCACTAGAACTTTCTATTCTCACTCACTAGAACTTTCTATTCTCACCCACTAGAACTTTCTATTCTCACCCACTAGAACTTTCTATTCTCGCCCACTAGAACTTTCTATTCTCACCCACTAGAACTTTCTATTCTCACCCCCTACAACTTTCTATTCTCACTCACTAGAACTTTCTATTCTCACCCACTAGAACTTTCTATTCTCACCCACTAGAACTTTCTATTCTCGCCCACTAGAACTTTCTATTCTCACTCACTAGAACTTTCTATTCTCGCCCACTAGAACTTTCTATTCTCACCCACTAGAACTTTCTATTCTCACCCACTAGAACTTTCTATTCTCACCCACTAGAACTTTCTATTCTCGCCCACTAGAACTTTCTATTCTCACCCACTAGAACTTTCTATTCTCACCCACTAGAACTTTCTATTCTCGCCCACTAGAACTTTCTATTCTCACCCACTAGAACTTTCTATTCTCGCCCACTAGAACTTTCTATTCCCACCCACTAGAACCTTCTATTCTCACCCCCTAGAACTTTCTATTCTCACCCACTAGAACTTTCTATTCTCTCTCACTAGAACTTTCTACTCTCACCCACTAGAACTTTCTACTCTCTCTCACTAGAATTTTCTTTTTTCACCCACTAGAACTTTCTATTCTCACTCACTAGAACTTTCTATTCTCACCCACTAGAACTTTCTATTCTCACCCACTAGAACTTTCTATTCTCGCCCACTAGAACTTTCTATTCTCACCCACTAGAACTTTCTATTCTCACCCCCTACAACTTTCTATTCTCACTCACTAGAACTTTCTATTCTCACCCACTAGAACTTTCTATTCTCACCCACTAGAACTTTCTATTCTCGCCCACTAGAACTTTCTATTCTCACTCACTAGAACTTTCTATTCTCGCCCACTAGAACTTTCTATTCTCACCCACTAGAACTTTCTATTCTCACCCACTAGAACTTTCTATTCTCACCCACTAGAACTTTCTATTCTCGCCCACTAGAACTTTCTATTCTCACCCACTAGAACTTTCTATTCTCACCCACTAGAACTTTCTATTCTCGCCCACTAGAACTTTCTATTCTCACCCACTAGAACTTTCTATTCTCGCCCACTAGAACTTTCTATTCCCACCCACTAGAACCTTCTATTCTCACCCCCTAGAACTTTCTATTCTCACCCACTAGAACTTTCTATTCTCACTCACTAGAACTTTCTATTCTCACCCACTAGAACTTTCTATTCTCACCCACTAGAACTTTCTATTCTCACCCACTAGAACTTTCTATTCTCACGCACTAGAACTTTCTATTCTCGCCCACTAGAACTTTCTACTCTCACTCACTAGAACTTTCTATTCTCACCCACTAGAACTTTCTATTCTCACCCACTAGAACTTTCTATTCTCACTCACTAGAACTTTCTATTCTCACCCACTAGAACTTTCTATTCTCACCCACTAGAACTTTCTATTCTCACCCACTAGAACTTTCTATTCTCACCCACTAGAACTTTCTACTCCCACCCCCTAGAACTTTCTATTCTCACTCACTAGAACTTTCTATTCTCGCCCACTAGAACTTTCTATTCCCACCCACTAGAACTTTCTATTCTCACTCACTAGAACTTTCTATTCTCATTCACTAGAACTTTCTATTATCCCCCACTAGAACTTTCTATTCTCACCCACTAGAACTTTCTATTCTCACCCCCTATAACTTTCTATTCTCACCCACTAGAACTTTCTATTCTCACCCCCTAGAACTTTCTATTCTCACCCACTAGAACTTTCTATTCTCACTCACTAGAACTTTCTATTCTCGCCCACTAGAACTTTCTACTCTCACTCACTAGAACTTTCTATTCTCTCTCACTAGAACTTTCTACTCTCACCCACTAGAACTTTCTACTCTCTCTCACTAGAATTTTCTTTTTTCACCCACTAGAACTTTCTATTCTCACTCACTAGAACTTTCTATTCTCACCCACTAGAACTTTCTATTCTCACCCACTAGAACTTTCTATTCTCGCCCACTAGAACTTTCTATTCTCACCCACTAGAACTTTCTATTCTCACCCCCTACAACTTTCTATTCTCACTCACTAGAACTTTCTATTCTCACCCACTAGAACTTTCTATTCTCACCCACTAGAACTTTCTATTCTCGCCCACTAGAACTTTCTATTCTCACTCACTAGAACTTTCTATTCTCGCCCACTAGAACTTTCTATTCTCACCCACTAGAACTTTCTATTCTCACCCACTAGAACTTTCTATTCTCACCCACTAGAACTTTCTATTCTCGCCCACTAGAACTTTCTATTCTCACCCACTAGAACTTTCTATTCTCACCCACTAGAACTTTCTATTCTCGCCCACTAGAACTTTCTATTCTCACCCACTAGAACTTTCTATTCTCGCCCACTAGAACTTTCTATTCCCACCCACTAGAACCTTCTATTCTCACCCCCTAGAACTTTCTATTCTCACCCACTAGAACTTTCTATTCTCTCACTAGAACTTTCTACTCTCACCCACTAGAACTTTCTACTCTCTCTCACTAGAATTTTCTTTTTTCACCCACTAGAACTTTCTATTCTCACTCACTAGAACTTTCTATTCTCACCCACTAGAACTTTCTATTCTCACCCACTAGAACTTTCTATTCTCGCCCACTAGAACTTTCTATTCTCACCCACTAGAACTTTCTATTCTCACCCCCTACAACTTTCTATTCTCACTCACTAGAACTTTCTATTCTCACCCACTAGAACTTTCTATTCTCACCCACTAGAACTTTCTATTCTCGCCCACTAGAACTTTCTATTCTCACTCACTAGAACTTTCTATTCTCGCCCACTAGAACTTTCTATTCTCACCCACTAGAACTTTCTATTCTCACCCACTAGAACTTTCTATTCTCACCCACTAGAACTTTCTATTCTCGCCCACTAGAACTTTCTATTCTCACCCACTAGAACTTTCTATTCTCACCCACTAGAACTTTCTATTCTCGCCCACTAGAACTTTCTATTCTCACCCACTAGAACTTTCTATTCTCGCCCACTAGAACTTTCTATTCCCACCCACTAGAACCTTCTATTCTCACCCCCTAGAACTTTCTATTCTCACCCACTAGAACTTTCTATTCTCACTCACTAGAACTTTCTATTCTCACCCACTAGAACTTTCTATTCTCACCCACTAGAACTTTCTATTCTCACCCACTAGAACTTTCTATTCTCACGCACTAGAACTTTCTATTCTCGCCCACTAGAACTTTCTACTCTCACTCACTAGAACTTTCTATTCTCACCCACTAGAACTTTCTATTCTCACCCACTAGAACTTTCTATTCTCACTCACTAGAACTTTCTATTCTCACCCACTAGAACTTTCTATTCTCACCCACTAGAACTTTCTATTCTCACCCACTAGAACTTTCTATTCTCACCCACTAGAACTTTCTACTCCCACCCCCTAGAACTTTCTATTCTCACTCACTAGAACTTTCTATTCTCGCCCACTAGAACTTTCTATTCCCACCCACTAGAACTTTCTATTCTCACTCACTAGAACTTTCTATTCTCATTCACTAGAACTTTCTATTATCCCCCACTAGAACTTTCTATTCTCACCCACTAGAACTTTCTATTCTCACCCCCTATAACTTTCTATTCTCACCCACTAGAACTTTCTATTCTCACCCCCTAGAACTTTCTATTCTCACCCACTAGAACTTTCTATTCTCACTCACTAGAACTTTCTATTCTCGCCCACTAGAACTTTCTACTCTCACTCACTAGAACTTTCTATTCTCACTCACTAAAACTTTCTATTCTCACTCACTAGAACTTTCTATTCCCACCCACTAGAACTTTCTATTCCCACCCCCTAGAACTTTCTATTATCATTCACTAGAACTTTCTATTCTCACCCCTAAGACACTTCCTGTTTAACAGAACCCAGACTTCCAGACACGGTCAACACGAAAATTCCAAAGCCTTTACATTTCGGCAGAACACAGCGACTTTTTATTTTGAAAGAAAAGGCCAAATCTTGCCAATACGGCGAAGATGGAAGGACGGAGTGAAAGACGAACGGAAAGACAGAATTAAAGAGAAAAACACATTGCGTTATTTCCTTGCCTGAGTTGGAAGATTCATTCAACTGGCATTATTATGCAAATTATCGAATTATTTTAATTAAAATAGAAATATCAAATCTAAATGCAATTTTCTCAAGAATTTCTCTGATAAATGTAAAAATAAGCTGTTTCTTTAAATACCCGTCTTCACTTCTAATCTAATCTAAACTATCCTAATCTAATGTAATCTAATCTAAACAATGCTAATCTAATTTAATCTAATCTAAGTAAACAAAGAGCTAAGCAAGCAATGAATGCATTAAACCAGGGATCGCCTGGGTCTAGCCAGATAACAAAGACTGTCTGTCATTAGCCAGATAACAAAGACTGTCTGTCATCCAGATAACAAAGACTGTCTGTCATCATCCAGATAACAAAGACTGTCTGTCATCCAGATAACAAAGACTGTCATTAGCCAGATATCAAAGACTGTCTGTCATTAGCCAGATAACAAAGACTGTCATTAGCCAGATATCAAAGACTGTCATTAGCCAGATATCAAAGACTGTCTGTCATTAGCCAGATAACAAAGACAGTCTGTCTACGTTAGATGTAATGTCAGGTCTACTTTCCTTGTGTGATGAGTTTTGTGTGGGTTGAGTTTTGTGTGGTGCGTTTTGTGTGTGATGTGTTTTGTGTGTGATGAGTTTTGTGTGTGAGGAGTTTTGTGTGTGAGGAGTTTTGTGTGTGAGGAGTTTTGTATCCAGCACTGAGCATGTTTGTAAGTGTGACGTATTTGGTGACGTAATGTGTAGCGTGTGTGACGCATTTAGCGTCACAGTGTGTGACGCTAGTTCTGACACTAACCTGTAGGTGTGGGGCATCCCAGTGGGTGTCCTCAGCCTCCAACTGTCGTACCCTCGGGTCCGTTGCTAGGAGAAAAATGGCCGCGTTGATCATGACAACCAGGGTGAAGGTCACTCCCATCAGCACCCGCCATCTTCGTCGTATAATCATCCACATTTCAGCTCATCCACATTTCAGCTCATCCACATTTCAGCTCATCCACATTTCAGCTTATCCACATTTTAGTTCATCCACATTTTAACTCAACGTTTTTCTGAACTGTTCTAAGTCCAAGTCATCTATGGTGAGTTAGCTGCGCACTAGACCACCGCACACCTCTGTGGTCAACTCAAACGTTGATCAGATCAATATTAGAAAATCATTTGTCAGACGATACAAATTATTGTCTACAGTTGTAGCTGTTCCGACAGACAAATCGTCTGCAATCTTTCATATGTTATCAACACAAGAAACGGCTGGTTTAAAAAAAAAATCCAGTTGAAATTTCCCCCCATTAAAGACAGCTAGATTTAGCCCATGAGTTGCTGTAGGAAGTCGGCCTGTCCGTCTCCTTAGTGTGAAGTATTGCTTGAACACATACCTGGAGAAGTGGAGGGAGAAAAAACATTAAAAAATAAATTTATCGCTAAAGCAGGTTCGTGCTCTCTCAGCAGGCAAATTGTTTTTGTAGCAGATAAAGTGAGGAGAGCTCTAGAACCGACGCCAACATTCGCTGTAGTCTGCAAGGTGGGGGTGGGGTGGCCGAGCTTGTTGATGTTGGTCAATTGGTTAGTGAGGGTATATTTTATTGATCATTGATGGATACATACATATATATATATATATATATATATATATATATATATATATATATATATATATATATATATATATATATATATATATATATATATATATATATATATTATCCATATATATATTATCCATATATATATATCCATATATACATACACATGTGTTACTACATGAGTTCTTTATTTTAAGATCGAAAAACCTTTTGCGTAAGACCATCGGGAATTAGATAATCGAATACCGCATCACGTTACCGACTACCCAATTTCCTGACATCAGGAAAGGAAAACACGAAGTTAAACAAAAATGTTTTCAACAAAACATCGCCGAAGGATGATGAAAAAAACATCCACCTCGTATAGAGAAATATTTCAACGCACACCCCAAAAAAAAACAACCCACAATCATTTCGTTGTTTAGATACACTTTGACCTTTACCCTTGGCGCGTGCCGGTAATACGCTCGTTAAAAAAAAAGTGCCGTACTGTTTGATATTTCAATATTCTACGAAACAATTTATTTAACCACGCGTTTTCTGGACCAGGTTATTGTTTTATTTAAACTCCATTCATCTTGTTTTATGTGGTGCTAAATTTGTCAATTTAATTTGCCAATAAACTTGCCAAAGATGTCCAATAAACAAAGTTGAAGAGTCAAGTTATCCCCCCCCCTCCCCCCAAGTTTAAATGATTAAAATCAAATCGAGCGGTAAATGGCGCTTGTCGCATCAGTTATAAATCTACATCTAGAGCCAACTTTATCAGTTATAAATGTGAGTGGATGGCAGAGGCGTATCCAGGTTTTCTTTGTTGGGGGAGCGAAAAGAGCAAAAAAAGGCGCCGAATTTTTAACACTTCCTATATGCGTGTATTATATATATATATATATATATATATATATATATATATATATATATATATATATATATATATATATATATATATATATATATATATAATTACTAGCTGTATGTCATTATTTCGCTACGATGTAAAATAAATTGAAAGTAGCACTCTGAAGAAATAAGAAAAAACACACAATGTAGGCCGACAAAACAAAAATTGTATCAATCTTAACAAAAACAAATATACACACACTACAACCAAAAACAATGAACGTAACACAATCTGTTTTGTAATTCTTGTAAAAAAAAATTCTTACATAACAATTCCTGGGAAATTATTTAAGACAATTGAAATAGGGGAAATAATCACTCTCTTAATATAACTATGTATATATCTACACATTTTATTATAAATGTCAAAACAAATCAATAATTACTTTAGAAAATAATGAAATTGTTTAACACTATTCGTGTTAATAAAATGTTTTTGTCTATAATCAAAATTTAATATATCGTCATCATAAATGCTGAAATATTACAGCATAATGAATGTTTTTAAAAATCAGAGTTGGTATAAAACCACGCTTTTCGATATAATAGAATAACATTCGGAATAACAGCCTACATTTAACTAATTATCTGTCGTTTAGGTATATTTTAATTAACTACTGCTTTTTGTGTTCTTTAAAGATCATTTTTTAACATAGTGATAGGTATGGGTTAGATCACTGTATTAATCACATACCTTTTTACTGGTAATTGCAAAAACAATATTCACAGAGTTTTACGTTTAAAAAGCTAATTTTCTGGCGGCATGGTACTTTGGTACATCATTACGCGTTTTTCTACATGTACTTAACAGATCAGTTCGGGGTGGGTTGGGGGGGGGGGATAGGTTTAACTTCACTCACCACTGTCCGGTCACTTTAGGTCAATTATCCAACCCAGTGTATACCTAGGTGTGACATTAATGTCGCTCTACACAATTGTGTTGGTGGGGTGTGGGGGGGGGGGGGGAGATAACCAACTCAGAGTGAACATAGCGTCAGTTTTTAGATGACTGTTCTAAACATACATATATATTACACAAATATATATTACAGAAATATATTTAAATAAGTAGCAGTGGTATTATGACAATATTTTTTTACAGAGCGGTCCATGGGGGAAGGGGATTGTAACTGTTTCATATAATTTGTAATCGTAATCACTATAGTCCAAACTGTAAGAATACTACTACTTCATCGTGATGACGTTGTTGACCTTGTCAAAATATCCCCAACACTACGCAGTTTGCTCATAAGTAAATTTAAATAGAGGTGCCACATCAGTTGTATTTGTTTCTGTATTGTAATTTTTTTAAATTAATCACACGATTCAAACTGTATATATAAAGTAATTATGTGTGAAGTTTTATGTATAACATTTTCTAATTCAATTATTCGTAAGCAAATACATTATACAGTTGCCTTAAACTTAACACCCCTCTTGCCAAGTGGTACTACCCGTAGAGGTTTTTTAAACATTGCAATGCATCGTAATGGTTATTTTTAGAATGGCAAACTGATGCAGCTGTTAATACTTGTTGTAAACGTAGACGCTACTAGACTTGTACAATAATGCTTAATTGCTGCATGATAAGAAATCTGGTGATTTACATAGCTGTGCCGACCAAAAATATTTTTTACAAATATCATTGTTTAAAACTTTGAGTTTAAAAAGTTTCCAAAAAGGCGCCACTTTGCTGCCCCTGCTCCCCCCTGCGTACGCTACTGGTGGATGGAGTGTTTTATTGTTCTTTGTTCTTATGGCGGTTATTTTAATGATGGTTTTTATGTGTTGAAATAGCGCTGTCTGCTTGGGCCAGCATTTTTAAAAAAGTTTTTATCGTATTAGGTGATGTTTAATGTAAGTTTATGTTTTTACTAAGCTTAGTATCTTTTGTGTATTTTCAGGTGTATTATTTTGTACTGTATTAAGAGTTGATGTTTTTGGGATTATTTGTTGGAGCGTTGTGTGTGGTGTATGTGGGTGTGGTGTATGTGGGTGTGGTGCGGTAAAAAGCGCGAAATTCAGACCAGTCTGAAAAGGCATGTTGAGGCGATGGGTCACTTAGTGAGTCGGGCCTAGTATGGCGTGTGGACAGAGGAAAGTTGTTTGGTAAACATTGATTGTCGAGTCTGATTGGGTGTTTGATTTTGTTGTTATGTTTTATGTGACATGTTAGATGTAGCTTAAATTAATGAACTTGTTGATTTTTTTAAAAACAAAGTTTGGCTTCAATTTTTATTTTAATCAAGTTACGTATAGTTGCTAATCTTTTGATTTAAAAAAATCTAGATTTAAGTTAGGGGTTTAAGCACTGTAGTCCGATATGTTTGGTTTAGTCTGCAGGTGGATTAGGGTACTCTACCTGTCACGGGTTAGATAAAGTGTCGAATTTTAAACTTTTAGAACAACACTTTGTTAGTTTTAAAGTGTAGAATATTAAGAACAATTCTCGGTCAAACAGTGTGGGATAATTAAAATGTAATTAACCAGCTTGAGAAAGATTGATAGAGTCTGGATGTGGTGTCTTAGTGAACGTCTGCGGGTGAAAACTTTGGTAATCTTCGGGCTGATTCGTTACGTCATTCATGCAATGATCCGACCAGCTTTTCAAGGCAGGGGTTCGTTAAATCTGGAGTGACGTTACGTCTCGCGGCGTAACTGACACCCAATAAAATGTTTAAAAAAACTTTCTTACCACCCCCAGCGTCAGACTAATCCCGGCAGACGTGAGATTTAAATCCTGAGGACATCTGAGTATAACGACCACTGGGCACCCTCTAATGTCGGTCTTAATGTCATTTAATCAATGGTTCAGCATTGTCTGCACAAAAACCGTATAGCCGGCGATTACAGACTGACATTATATGTGCCTGGATTTAAGAGGCCGGCTATTATTGGATTAGTAACATATGGTCGGCTCGTGTTTCTGTCAAGCCGTGTTCAATGGTTTCCTTGCCGTGTAAATGTGTATGTAGATTATATGTATGTGTAGTTATGTGTCGGTATGTGTTTTTTGGTCGTCACAACATGACATCACGACACACATCAGATGATATCACGACACCACATCACGACAAACGACAATATAGTAATAGCAGACGACATCAAGTATTTTCCACTTGATGGGTGCTACCAAACACAACACGAGTTAGGCGAACATCGGCCTAATGGAGGTGGACAAAGTAAAAAAAATGTTTTATGTCGGCCTTATTGTGATGAGTGTACGTGTTTGTATACGTGTTTGTATTCCCCCCCCCCCCCCCCCATGTATACGGGGCCTGCTGTTCCTTATTAAACGTTACCCTACCACAAGGTCACGACATAGCCGCCCCGCCCCCAACATTAGCCTGCGCGATAGGCATCTTGTTCAAATCTGGGATAGTACTGCCATTAAGGCTAACTGCGGTCTAACGGAGCGCCCCCTCATGTAGTCTACTGATGCGCCCCCTTAGGGAGTCCAACGGTGCGCCCTACCAGCGGTCTAACGGAGCTTCCATACGGCGGTCTAACGGTGCGCCCTACCGGCGGTCTAACGGTGCGCCCTACCGGCGGTCTAACGGAGCCCCCCTAGGGCGGTCTAACGGAGCGCCCTACCAGCGGTCTAACGGTGCGCCCTACCGGCGGTCTAACGGAGCGCCCCCTCAAGCGGTGTGACGATCTCCCACCTGCCGCCCTACCCAGTTCTCACGAACAAATAGCCCAAACCTGTCTCGTCCTTGACTTGACCTTTAAGATTTACATAACACAACAAACAGCAGGGCGGGGTTGTTCCACCCTGAGTTACTGACGTCACATTCTGTCACAAGGTCACGTGACAGTATGTTTTGACTTCATCTGGACTTTTGTTATTGTAAATCTCTACCGAAGGAGTGACTTGCAGTGTTTCTTTCAGA